GCATGGTCCGTGGGCATGACAGCCTTCGGAATCATCAGCTGCTCTGGAGTCTGCCTTTCAAGACAGGAGCAGCCCCCATCTTGCTCTCAAGAAGGTTTAATTTTCAGACCGAGTGTGGTGGCTCACGCCTGTAATACTAGCACTTTGGGAGGCCGAGGTGGGCGGAGAGCTGAGGTCAGGAGTTCAAGACCAGCCTGGCCAAAATGGTGAAATGCCATCTCTACTAAAAATACAAAAACAAACAAACAAACAAAAAACAAATTAGCCAGATGTGGAGGAGGGCACCTGTAATCCCAGCTACTCAGAAAGCTGAGGCGGGAGAATCACTTGAACCTAGAAGGTGGCCATGTCAGTCCTGTTTTGGAGTTCCCCTTCTTTGAAGTCAGTCAGGGATGGACTGCCCTGGAATGACCGTCAGCACAGGTCTGTTCAGTTCCATGTGTGTTAGGGCCCTGTGTTAGAGTACTCAGAGATGGGTCTACAGATGAGATGATGTGAAGTAAGAGAAGTCCCACGAACAGAGGTATAACTAGAGGGCAGCGCTGGCTCAGCGGAAGGCAGATCTCACACATTGGAGGGATCAGAAGAGACTCCGTGGAGGAAGTGGTGTTTGAGATGAGCTTAGCAGGGTGATCTAAGCTCATTAGACCAACATGGAAAGGGAGATGAGAGGCAGACCAGTGAGGAGCTGGACGAACAGGAGCTATAGGTGGGCCCTGGAAACAGGCCTCAGTGAGCAGGGCTAGGGAAGGGCTAGGGAGCAGCAGGAGAGGAGGTGGGGCTGGATTTCTGGAGGAGAGGATGAATGAGGGCCAGGCTTCTGGGGATGCAGAGCTGGACAGGGAAGAAGGAGAAACTTCTGGGCAGCCTGAGGCATGGGCAACTGAGCTGCAGGCCCACGGCGGGGAGAATATCTGAGAGTCCCAAGGATGAGGGCTCCCAAGAGTGTCTGTTTCTGCAGTGCCTATGGGAGTGGGGGGCAGTCGGGGGGAACTCAGAGAAGCTGCCTACAACTAGGTGTGGAACCAGCTAGGGGCTGGGAGCAGAGATTTGGGTGCATGGAGGACGGGGCCTTCCAGGCCTCATGACCATCTTGGCTGCTCTGCAGAGGCCTTCCCCCAGGCTGGAGGAGGAGAGGGACAGGGAAGGCTGAGGGGAGCTGTCCTCCGGCTGCCATCACCCTGATGAGGGTGGGGAAGGTTTGTTGGAGGAGACATGAAGTCTGAAGGGGTTGTCTTTACCCTCTCTCTTCTTCCTCCTTCTTCTACCCTTCTTTGGCATGAGACAGACGAATTGAATCCTGGTTCTTCATTTCACTAGCTGCATAGACTTGGTTACATGACATTGCATCTCAGTTCTCACTTCTGTGAAATGGGAAGAAAAATTACATCTTCCTTGCAAATAATTATGAGGATTAAAATAATTCATACCATTTGGAAGCACAGTGCTGGGCACATGGTAAATGTGAGTGACTCATAGCAGCTCTGGCGACCATTATTTTTCTGGAAGACCCCCGCCCTCCGCATTTCCTCAGATCCTCCCCCGACCTCCAGTCGGACGGGTGTCTGACCTTCCCCTTTTCCCTCGTAGCTGCCACCTGGAGGCTCCATTTTTGCCGAGCTGAATAGCCCCTCAGACGCTCCTAGCAGGCTTGCTCCGGGCTGTGGTCTCCGCAGGGGCTGGCAGCCTTACCCTTGTCCAGCTCTCTCCATGGCCGGGCCTGCCATCTGGTAGGCAGGAGGGAGCCAGGCCTGTGTGTGGGGCCAGCCAGAGCAACAGACCCAAGTGCCCATCCCTCCTGTGTGTTAGGAAAAGGTGGGGGTGACTTTTGGGATGCCAAAGAGGCCCCCAAGTTGCCTCTTCTGTGTTTCTGAAGGCCCAAGGCCTACTTTTTGTCTAATCCCCCACCCCCCACACGCACACTCACACCCACTCACTCTTGAGCCCTCTTCTGCTGTTTCACAGCCTGCCCACACTCCTCCCCGGCAAAGCCCCTTGCAAATGCTTGCTTTGGGGACTGGCAGCTTTCGCCTCTGAATCAGGACCTGTGAGTGTTACTTAGAAATTGTGCAGGAGTTGAGGAGGCTTCTGTTAGGCCGAGATGATAATTGCGCTATTTAAAGATGGCCCTGGAGCCAGAAGGAGCCGGAAGGAGCCAGATGCCCCACGTGGCTGTCCTGGGGCCCCCTTCTGCTCACTGTGCCTGTGCAGCGGACAGGACAGGGGCAGGAGGTCCTGGACAGTTATCTCAGGGGCATCTGCCTGGCAGTCCTCTCTGGGCTATCTCCAGACCAACTCTACATGATGCCATTTGGCCAGGGCAGGTGGAGTTGCTCCTTGGCACCTGGTTTAGAGAGAGGCCAGGAAGGGGCTAGTGAGAAGAGAAGCAACCAAAGCCAGCTTCTCAGTTGCTAAAATGACCAGGAGGATTTGGGGAGGCCAGGTTGGACCAGATAGCCAGTACCTCACAGTGGGCAGCCCGAGGTTCTGTTCTGCCTTCCTGAGAACTTCTCCAGTCCCTTTCCTGTAAGAAGCTTTAAAAACTCCACCCACAGGTGGCCAGCACTAAGGTAATTCACACTTCCATGCAATCACAGGGTGCTTTCTACTCTTCATTTACTGCCCAGCCATGAGCTCATCCCTCTAAGGTAGGCAAAACCAGGGTTGTGGGTTTTGTCTTATAGCCAAAGCCTCAGTAGGTGGTAACAAGCCTGAGGTCACCCAGCTGGTCTGTGGCAGGACTGTACCCTAGTCTCCTGAGTCCCTGCTCTGGGCTTCTTCCTATATGCTACGCTGCAGGCTGCCTGGGGATCTGCTGGGCTGGGGTCATTCCTGGGGTACCTAAACTCCTTCCTGGCACACTACAGTCTTCTCCAAAGTTAGTCTTTGCCACAAGGGGCCACTTCCCCAGCCTAGTCTTCTCTTTTGGCCTCTCATGGCATCTTGGTGTATGTGGAGGGGTGGGGGAATATGGGGGGAGGGGGCAGTGTGCCTGGATGTGGGTGAACTTGGGGAGGTAGGCTGGGGCCATATGGCCTTTCAGTCTCAGGGCTGGAGCATTCAGGGTGGAGGGGCCTGGGCATGGTGGATGGGAGAATTGGGGGAACGGCTGTTTTCAGCCTCAGGGAGACGGCAGCTCTGGACAGACTGGGGCAGCAGCCCCTCCTCTCTACTCACAGCTGCTCTGAGAGGCAGGGAGGTGCGAGTAGGCTGCCCTGGGAGCAGCAGTGTTGGGGAAAGGAGGGGACAGACCAAGCTTCCACTTTTTACTTCTGTAGCCTTCTGGGACCCTGCCCTCCACAGTGGCCGTCTGGTTTGGGAAGGATCCCCTTGACCAGAGTTTGTGTCCAGTTTCTATCCATGGGAGTGTGTATGTGGCCACGTGTGTATCTGTTCTAGGTCTCTGTGTTTCTGTCTCAGTGCATGTGTGTGTGCATGCCCACATGCCTGCTTGCACTTCTGAGCCCCCCTGGGAAGGGCTGTGAGTGTGAGCTCTGAATTTTCAAGCTGGTGCACTAACTTTCCTTGGATCTAGACCCCGTGTTGCTCCCCAGTCTCCCTCTTCCTTTCCCCTATTTCTGCCTAGAGCATTAGTACCCTGGGGAGGGGGTCCAGGTAGGAGAGGCCAGCCGTTCCCCTGCTGGGTTCAGTCCTGCCACAGGCCTGTGCAGTGTCTGACCTCTTACCTCACACTGGATCCTGATGCTTCCTGTCCACCCTGACCCTCCTAGTCTGCCTGTTATTCTCACCCTGAGGGTGGACAGAAGGCTTTCCTAGCGTCTCCCATAAGATAAAAGAGAAGGAAAGGAGGGAAAACGTCATTTTTGGGCCACCTCCAGTGTGCCCATTGCTGTGCTGGGGGCTTCACACCCCTTCTCTCCTTCTACTGGGGCCTCTGAAGACAGTCCTCCCTGAAAAACGACTCAGGTGGTAGCTTTCTAATGTGGACAGGGAGGTTGGAATCTGATTGTAGGCAGAGAAATCCCCAGCTGCACGCGGCCTTTCTCGTTACTTCCGCGTTACTTCATCGCTGGCTTCCGTTGCTCTGACCATTGGGCCCCTGTGCCAGGCTCAGCGTATCAGCAGAGCCAGGCTGTGCACATGCTAACTGACCTCGCTGGTGGGTTCTGCGGTGTCAGCAATGGGTAATGATGCCGAGGGAGCAGATTCTCAGCCATGATAGGGGCCACACTGTAGCCCCACCGTAGGAGAGTGGCACCCCGCACCTCTACATCACCCCTGGGTTCCTTTCCATCATTCAGTCCCTGCCAGAGGTAGGAGGCTGTGAACTCAGAATCCAATCCTGCTGTCTGCCAGGCCTGTGTGCTGTCCTCCTTGGCAGGTTTTGGAAGTGGGGAATGACTTGAGCCAGAGCCTCCTCCCTGAATTATGGGCAATGCAGCAGGTCAGGGCTCTCTGCCTGCCCCAGTACCCAGTCTGTGCCTCTGCAAACCCTTAGCCATGTTGTGCCAGTGTCCAGGGCAGGAACTACTCTGCCCCTGTTTCCTGTGACCCCAAGAGGTCCAGCCTTTAGGACTCACAGCCACTCCCACTGAGAGTCCTTTCTACCCATTTGCATTTGCTTGGTTGACTTAAGTGATGGGGAAAAGGTTGGGGGTAGCACAGAGACCCTATTTCCTCCCCTCCCACCCCCAGGTCTCAGGAGGACTCTGGGCATTCTGCCGGCTGCTCCCCTGCCACTGACCGAATCATTTCTATATTTGGCCAGTGAGCCACGTGGGTAGGGGAACCACTGCCACTGCGGCTGCACTTCTGACAGCTGTGGAGAGCAGGGGGAGGCAGAGGCTGGGCAGTAGGCATGTGCATTCCTTGGGAAAACTAAGGAGGTGCCATCAGAGTGAGTAAGCCTGGAGAAGGGGCATGCGCCAGCACCTCCCTCTCCTCCACTTTCTAGTTCAGGTCCTGTCTCCTCTGCTCCACCCCCTCCCCGATGCCCTTCTCCACCCAGTTGGTACTCATAGCAGTCTCTTTTCCCACAGACACACTGCCCTCCAGAAACGATGGGTGTCGCTAGATCCAGCTGGGACTCTGCCAGCCTCAGGCGCTCAGTCTAAGAGAAGGGCCATCTTCCAGCCCTGCTCTCCCTGCCTGTCATGGCCACATTCGGCTGCTGTCTGCATGTCTGGGGACACAGGGCACCCAGCCCCAGCCCTGAGAAGTTAAGCCAGGCCTTCTGGCTCAGTTCCACAGGGGCACTCCAGACCCCAGGCCCCTTTCAGAGCAAAAGCAACTGATGCTATGGGAGAAGCCCCTGCCCACCTGTCCACTCACCTGGCACTGCCCACCCTGAGACCCATGCACTGGGTTCCCCTGGAGGTGCCAACCCTGTGAGTCCCTCCCTGTCCCCTGACGCTGAGAAAGCCCTGCCCTCCCCCACCATGTGTGAGGTGATGCCCACAATCAATGAGGGGGACCCCCTGGGGCCCCCTCATGGCGCCGATGCTGACGCCAACTTCGAGCAGCTGATGGTGAACATGCTGGACGAGCGGGAGAAGTTGCTGGAATCTCTTCGGGAGAGTCAGGAGACCTTGGCGGCCACGCAGAGCCGACTCCAGGATGCCCTACATGAGCGGGACCAGCTCCAGCGCCACCTTAACTCTGCCCTCCCCCAGGTAAGGCCCTAAGGCCTGCGTCTCCCTTAACCCCTTTCCCTCCCCTAGCCCTGCTAGATCCACTGGGCCCTCAGCTCATCTGCGTCTATTTGCATATCAACAATTGGAATTAACCAAGCATTTACTCTCCTTCCTCTCTCTACTTGAATTCTTTCCCTGTCACTTCCAAGCTCCTCAGTGTGGAATTGGTTTCCCCTGGAGAAATGGATGGAATTTGATGTGGGTAGAAAAACGCAACCATAGGTGCCAGCTGCAGTGAGCCCAAGCGGCCAGTAGGTGGCACCCTAGACTGGAAAGAAACCTCCTCCCTGCCTACTTCTCTCTAGTGCCTTGTTCTTGGAGGTGGCGAGTGGGGAATCACAGACAGTAGAGACGGGTGAAGCCTTAGAGATCATCTCATCCATCTCCATTACTGCATAGATGAAAAAAGCAAGAGATATCACATGGAAGATGATGGGCAGAGCTGAGTCTAGCGGCCGGATGTCTTGACATCCTGTCTCACACTCCTCAACAGCACAGCCACTAGCTGTCCTGTAGTCTCGTGTACTGTGTCCTTTCTGTGGACCAGGCACTTTGTAAGGATTCTCCCACTAAATTCTTATAACCCTGAAGTTGGTGCTATTACCACCATCGTCCTATTGTACAAATCACGGAACTAAAGCTCGGGGAGATGAGTAAGTTGTTCGTGGCCATCCAGGTAGTGTGTGGTGGAGGTGGGAACTGAGCCTGGGGCTAAGTGCCTGGAGAGGCCAAGTTTCTCACCACCGCACCTATTTCTCCCTCACTGCATTGGCCTGGGAGCTCCCTTCTGGTGCCTGCTTATCACCCACTTGGTAGATATTCTAGGCATGGCACATGCTCTGGGGATGCAGGAGGGAGTGGGAGCCTAGATGGTTTGGTTCTTGGGCTGTTTAGCTTCTGCTTGTCAAAGAAACTGTGAATTCTGCCTAATAACCAGGCCCAGAAAGGGCTGGGGGTTGTGTGTCTGTGAGACAGTGCTCACACTGACTGTGGGAGCATCCGGCCCTCTCCGCCCCTCGTATGAGCAGAGAGATGGGTATTGGAAGCCGGCTCTGGACACGTGGCATAGCCTACCCTGACCCAGTGGGGGTGCTGCTGGGGTTGGGGAAGCAGCCCTGAGGAGCCGAAGAGCTCAAGCCTCAGTGCCAGGCCCTTGCCGGTGTGTGGGGAAAAGTACCAGGGCTGGGCCTGGGTGGGTGAGTTTCTTACGCAAAAGTGATGCTTAGTGGACAAGAATATGGAGCCCTGGTGAAGCAGCCAGGTGGGCAGGTGGGGCCCTCCTCTTTCACTGTGCACGAGGCTCTGAACTTGCCCTAGAGTGAATGGACTAGTTCCTGCCCCCAAGGAGCTCATAGACTAGGAAGGAGACATACAACCCATGTGACCGGAGAGAATGCAGAGGAAGATAAGAGAGGCCCAAAAGGGTTATTAAGCACAGTATCAGTGATAAAAATAACTGCCTTTGATGGGCTTGGGCTAAGTGCTTTCTATACATTGGCTTATTTGACTCTCATACCAGCACCTGGAGGGAGGACTGTTACCTCTGTCTTACAGATCAGAGAATGCGGCTCAGAGAGGTTAGGTAACTTGTTCAAGGTCATACAGCTAACAGGGGCAGAGCTGAGATTTGATCCCAGGCCTACTCGACTTCCCACACTGAAGTGTCATGAGGGCAGGGGTTGTGTCTTTCTTGTCACTATATCCCCAGTGACCCGCACAGGACCTGGTATGTGATAGGTGCTCACAAATATTTGTGGTTGAATGATGGGCTCCCAAGTTGGTGTTCTTGACCACTCCTCCAAATGGCTTTCTGGAGAGGGAGAGAGCCTCCCCATGGGGAGTCTGGACAGCTCCCAGCAAGGCTTTATCCTTTGAGATGGGCTTTGAAGGATGATTACAATTTCATCAGGTGGTGACAGAGGTTTTCTAGGGGGAGGGGGTCCACTGAGCCAAGATGTGATATTAGGAAGGCACACCGGTGTTTAGAAACAGCAGGTGAGGCTGGGCGTGGTGGCTCACACCTGGAATCCCAGCATTTTGGGAGGCCGAGGCGGACACATCATGATGTCAGGAGATCCGAGACCATCCTGGCTAACACAGTGAAACCTCGTCTCTACTAAGAAAAAAAAAAAAAAAAA